GGCAGTGTTATTAGAGTCACTCTGCCCCACACTTAAGTAAGGGCATTTTTGTCTTTGTAAAGATCATTAGAATCTAATGAAGATTAAGGGGGTCGACTGTAGGGGTAATCCAACAGATTTCGACAGACCCTTATTTTCTTTCTTCTTCTTCTCTTCTTCTTCCTCTTCTCTTTCCTTCTCTTCCTGGTTCGGACTACTGTAGCAGCATTCGAAACAGTTAGGAATAGGAGTTGGGAATGACACTCCCACCACCAAGTTGTACTAATTTTCTGTTATTCAAACATAATAATAAAATAAAATATATTTCCTGCTGATAAAAAATCTCCTTTTCTGGGAGTTTTTTCATTGTTTGTGCAGTTGTTAGGTTTTCCCTTCGTTGGTCCATGAAGCTTTTGCTTCTATCACCCTACAGCATTGGATTCTGGTAGTACTGCTATTTGAGCCATGGTCCCTTGTATTATCTGTTGATGTAGTTGGAAAGAAGGGAATCATAAAATATCGAAAGAAGGGAAAAAAACCTTGCTTTTTGCATGGATTCTTCATTCTTGTATCCTCCTCATGAGTTGATCTTAGAGGTTAAATAAAGACTTAAGCTCTATTAAAAGAAGGGTTTCTCTGTTTAGTTTCAATTATGTTATGGATGTAGGTGGGGTGGTAAATTTCAAAGAAACAGTTGGATGTTGCCTTCTTGTATATATTTATACTTAATAAATCCTCATGTTAACTTCAGATAAGGGCATACTCATTATTATAAGAGATCTATTTTAATAAAATTTTATTATTTACCAAAAATATTATTATAATAGATCTACATCCGAAGTTTTACCTTATCTGCTCAAGATGATGTGCAAGCAAGATATTTTGTAAAACATGTTAACCTTGCAATCCCTCTACTCTTGGAGAGATACTTATACCCGGATCCAAAATATGGGCAAAGAAAGAAATATTGTGCTTGAAAATGGATATGGAATAGATGGTGGAGAAGTAATTTTTTAAGGGACTGTTCCCCCACCCAAGATCTACCCAAAACTTGATTCTATTGCCATTATAAGCGTTGTACCTGATAGATTTAATGGAAGTAGGAAGTAAATCCAAGATGGCTTTCCAAGGGGATGCATGGGTAGCTCTCTTGTCCAATCTAGCATCATCCCACACATTAGGCATCCTGTCATGCATGCTACAAATCATACAATGCCACAAATTGATATAGAGGCTCCATCACTTAATTATGAAGAAACACATGGAAAATCTAGAAGGAACAAGAAAGTGAAGAATTCTTGTGCTTAATTTAGCTATTTCTTGTTTAATTTTGTTTTGATGATTTCCTAGGTTGTTTCTCAGTCAACTAATGATTTCTAGTGGATTATTATTGTTAGGAAGGCTCAGTTGAAGGAGTACAAATACAAATTTGTAGAGTACAAAACCTTGTATTTTATATTATTTTCTATATATTTGCACTGTACATATTTGTATTTGTACTCTTTCCAAACTGAGCCGAAGAGTCTTACATGGTATATAGCTGTTAGATAAGGTTATTTTTGGGTTTTCCTTACTATTTTGGGACGGGAGTGCTTTTTGTAATTTCAGGGTTTTATTTTCTGCCAACCTAAATAGAACCCCTATATAAGAACATTATTAGCTGCTGTTCAAAGGAGAAAAAGGAGGATATTCAATTACTTCAAGCTTAAGAAAGCTGTTTTTTCTTTCTTCTCTCTATTTCTTCTTTCTCTTGAGTTTCTCAAGCAGTTTGGGTGATTTTTTCTGTAAAAATCACTAGAACAGATCTGCTAGACCTGTTCTGCATTACAAATTATCAACTTCCAAGGGGAATTTCCAAAGTCATTTACCGAGCATTGGTAAGCTTCTCCTTGCTAAAAGAAGAAAATAAAAACAGCAATAAATCTCATAGTTCAATCAAAAAAAGTTTGTGATTGGAAGTGAAGAAGAGAGATTCAGAACAAGAGAGGAAGAGAAAGATGAAGAAGGGTTTTGGGAGTGAAAGAATTGTTATTCACCCCAGCCCTAATCGCATTTTATTAATTATAATAACAACAAGGGGCAAATAACTATAAAAAAAAATAACAGTAAGGGGCAAATTACATAAATGCTTTTAATAGGGCGGCTGCATAAAGAAAGAATATAAAAGAGCTGTTAGGCCCATTATGAGCAAGGCCTATCAGCATAAAATAAAATAAAAAGAGAGAACAAATGGTGGCATAGTGGCCGGCCCAACAACTCAACACTAAATTGTATTTCTGTGTAGTGTTAAAATAAGCCAGTTTTAATTTGCCTCTGTGCATAAAAACGATGGAACTACAATCTTGCATACAGTTTTTTATGGTGAACTTGTTCCAAGCATATACTGGGTACTTAAAGGGATTCTATTCTTCAAAAGAACATGGAGAATACCTTTTAGGCTTTAATTGAGCTAATCACAACCAAAGCCTTGCATTGGAAACAAACCTTGCAGTTAATGAGTTATCTAGAGGGATCACAGTGCAAGTAATCTTGAGAGGGTTGACCCCAATCTCTGGATCATCAACTTACAAGGTCATAGTTCACAGTATCAGCGAAATCTCCATAATTTCCCCACTTTACCAGGTGATGATATGAAATTTTTCAAGATTTTTTCTTATTATCTCCTATATTTCAGAAATAATTCAGATTTCATTGATAGACTTAAATTTTCAAAATATTATTAGAAACTTTCTAATATTTCAATAAAATCATAATTTTTTAAAACTTTCTTAAAAGAACAAATAGGAATTCAGTGATTGAATTACTTGCTTACTATATTTGATACTATTCAATTAATAAGTTATTGTAGTTCAAAAGAAAAAGAAAAGGAAAAAGAGAAACTACAAAAGAGTATCCTTAATCTAATGAAAATGTATAGTAACAAAAAAGGCAAAAGATAAACTGGCAAGTAAATGACAATATGACATACATAATGAAGAGAAGATGGATAAAAGACTAAAAGGGTGACAGAGAGAAAGATACCTATTTAAGTCTCATAATATTCTTTTATTTGATTTATACAGTTATTTGCTATGGTTTTTTAAGCCTTAGATGTGCAATTATACTTCTTCTAACGATTCCTTGAAAGTTTATTAACTAATTCCATGTTCTAGAAAATTTCCCTGATTTTTAAATTTTCAAAATATTTTAGACAAATTAGTGAAATATCCCCAAAATTTCCCCATCTCTGTATGGTGAAATTTCTACTGATATCAAATTTCAAACCATGACAGAGCATATAGGTGACTGCCCTTGGTGGGAATGCCATTGATCAAAATTCCATTCAATGGTTGTTCTGTGGTAACCCAGGACCCTCTGGTGTTGGGGAGGTATCTAGGGACAATAATAGGGTGATCTCTCCTCCCTCCTCTCTCTCTCTCTCTCTCTCACGGGACTTGGCAAGAACTTAACATCTGTCAATGATGTAGGATCTCAGGCTGTGTCAATCAAAACAACTACTTCTACAATGTCTATGGTGCCCTTACACAAACAATGCAAGTTTCCCAAATAAAATTACTCATATTATACCATTCTCACTATGCATGTAACCAGATCTTTGATGATTTAATCTTGTCTTTTTCATGGAAGTTACTACCTTATCTATTCTTCAGAGAAATTATTTCAATTTTATATTTATCATAAGCTCTACTGCTAATGTGCACAGGTTTTATGAAGGTGTGGTGCAATCTTATGACCAAGGAAAGAGGAAGCATGTGGTAAATTGCAACATTCTTAATTTCTTTATTAAAATTCTTACATATCTGATAGAAGATTCCTGCTTGACTGCAATTTTTGGCAATTTTCTAATTGAATTCTGTGCATTTTAAGATATTGTATGATGATGGAGATGTGGAAGTTCTCCTGTTAAAGAAGGAGCACTGGGAGCTTATTGGTAATGACCATCAGCCTAGAAAGGTATGAAAACTTTTGATTATTGATATTTGTACTTTATGGACTATTTTACCCATATTTTCTTTTTGAAGCTTTTGCATTTGTAATGTTTCTGAGGTATATTTGTCTGTAACAATTTTTACAGCATCTAAAATCACCCAAAGTTTCTTCTTCTAATGAAATGTAAGTATTACTGATTATTTGATTAAATTGTGTTGCTTATTTCTCTATCTGTAACTATTGAAAATTTATTTCACAAAGAGGGGATTGGTTTTTTTCCTATGGGCTTGCTGCAATCTCAGTCATACTCATCCTTTATTATTAAGTTTCTTTCATTCATTGGGTTTAATTAAGTTGTCGGAAATGCATTATGTTCATTACTTATATTATTTGTCTTTCAGTTCATCTGTGAAGAAAAGAAATAGGACTTTGGGTGATTCAATGCAGAATAAGAAATCCTCTAATAAGTGAGCAGTCTTGTTTGCTCTCTCTTTCTCTCTTGTTCACTTTGTGTATGTTTGTGTGTAGAATTTCTGGCTAATTGCTTTTTGAACCTTGAATTTGTATCACAGATCTTCATCTTCTAGAAACAGAAGGAAAATAACTTTCAGAAAAAATGTGGAACAAGAAAAGAATGCTATGCTAGAAAATAACTTTGATGCTGACTTTAGTGAAGGTGAGTTTAAAGGGATCTCCAATCTCAAGCATTGTTTCTCATCTTCTCCATGTGGATGCTTGTGTTTTCTGACATAGGATGAATCTAGGAGCTTGCTTTGTCTGAAGGTTATCATAGCATGAATTCTGGAAGGTTCAAGGGCTTGATTTAATAATTTTCATGTTGTTACCAGTTGTCTGTGGGACAATGATTTTATAATATTGCAAAAGGAATGTTTTTATATGTAAGGGCATAGACTTGCATCACTCCATAGTGTGAAGGGACTTGTGTGAAACCAGTACGACAGTTAAGGAAAGAGGTGTGAAATCTATACTTTTAGTATGGGTGTTAACTGCCTTGGGGGTGTCTATAGCAGTTATATCAGACAACTAAGAAAGAGAATAAACTAAAGAATGAGGACACGTGTAACCTCAGAAAGAGATGAGGAGATATCTTTTGTACTGAGCAGTCCACATGGTTTGCAACCCCATTTGATTAACCTCAGAGTGATACGTGGCACAACCTGAACAGGCGTGTGATCCTAAGTGTGCCCAAGATAACAATAGAAAAGATAATAAAAAGAAAAACAAAAGAATAAAAATAATAAATGAAGCCCTTCTGAAGGGCTAGAAAGTTCAAGAATCACTATAAATAGCCAAACAGAAAAGAGACAAAGACAGAGATATTCCAGAAAGAGAAAGGACATCACACCTTCCTTTTAGGAGGTAGAACCCATTTCAGCTCGGGATCTCCACCATTACAGCCAAGTGCAGAAGGAAATGCTTGTGGTTTTCTCGGTTTTTGTCTCCAACCTTTCAAACTCAACCGACCAAGCCTGATCCATCCTCCTACACTACATATGGTTGTTAAGAAAATGAAATTTTTATGTTGTTATCAGTTTGTATTATTTGTTAGGACATGGAACCTAGGAGGTTGATGTATAATGGAAGGTTGATGTATCAAAGTGAATGGTTGGGGGTGGGCAAAACCAAGAGTCTCCAATTGATCCCTAATACTAAGTATCAAAGTGAAGATGACTTATTTAGGTATCTTATAGCAGGGTTATTTCTCTTTACTTCTGCTCCATCTTTCTCTCTTATTTGTAAATGTCAATCTTTTCTAATAACAATCACTATCCCCAAAGTGAAGATATCATATTGAAGGACTGTTGGATTTAGTTATCAGATTGAGGAGAGAGTGTGACACAAGCACCGACCACTCGAGCATTCAATTGAATTTTGTTGTCTATCTCACCACATAGGCGTTGCTTGTCACCATCTAATTATATTTTTTGAGCACTTGAACTCACTCTAGTATGTGTAAGTCATGATATAGAGATTTTATTGACTTGATTTTTTTTTCTTTGTTATTTCTAAGGTGATTCTAAGGACAAAAAAATGAAAAGATTAGAGAACAGCCAGACAGACACAGAGGAACCTGACAAAGAAGATAAGTCAGTTTCTGAAGGGAAACTGGTAGAAGATGCAGAGAAAGGTGGAATGGATACAGAAGAATCTGCCAAGGAAGAAGAGTCAGATTATGAAGGTACCACAGAGAAGAGTCGAATGGATGCAGAGGAATCCAACAAAGAAGAAACGTTAGATTCTGAAAGGAAACAGATAGAAGAAACAGAGAGGAGCCAAACTGATGCAGAGGAATCTAGCAAAGAAGTGCAATCAGATTCTGAAGGGAAACAGGAAGAAGAGAGAGTGAACTCAACAAACCAAAATGAATCTAACGATGAGGAGAAATCAGATGCATCCAGTTCTGAGAACATTGAAGATTCTGATAATGAGCCTCTCGTACATATCTTCAGTCTTTACCATGTGTTTATGTTTTAGAAGATATTTCTTTAATCTGGATTCTTATTTAACATTAATCATGTACAGAGCATGTGGAAGCATCGGGCAAGGAAAGCAACCTAAAGCAGTGAACAGACGTTCCATTTCAAGATAGACATGACGCCATGGCTGCACTCTTATGATTAGCGTCAAGACAATTGTTGCTGGATCTGAGGGATGAATACTATCTAACTGATAAACAACACTTAAATTCTCTCACATTTTAGGCCTGTGTATCATGTATCATAGTTGTTAATGTCCCACATTTTTGTAACATTATTGTGTTCTCCGTGTTGGGATTATGTGATTTGTACGAGCTAGTTATGGAGGCACATCAAAGAACCAGTCCACTACGGACTAATGTACAGTTATAATAGGTGGACTATATATAATATTGGTGGGACTTGTATTCTGTAATCTGTATTATCTTGCGCATGTGAGTACATGCACATACCGCATTTGATCTCTAATAGTTAAAATTCAGAACATTAATAAACCTTTTGATGTTAATTTATACAAATTTATCCTTCTTGTTTTTTCTCGAACATGTTCATGTCTGATCTACTTTTCTCATTTTCTATGTTGAAATCAGCTGAGCTGTGCTTCCCCTCACATCTCTTATGTAAACATGGCGTTGATAGACTAAGGGGGTGTTCTACAACATGAACATTTTTGTTTTCATTTGTTTTTGAATTTACCATATCAGCAAAAAGTAAGATAAAATGTTATTTGTTTTGAAATTGTTGCATCAGCAAAAAAATGAAAAAAACGTTCTTGAAAACATCAAAATAATGGTTTTTACAACAAAAAATAAATTTTATGGTATATTAAATAATCAGATGAAAACATTTTTACACCACACATTCTAGAACACTTTTTTTTCAGATTTGGAAATAAAAAACACATATAATCAAGAATATGTTTTAAAAGTTTTTGTTTTAGGGTTATTATCTATTACTCCTCTCCAGTTTTTTCCCAATCTTTTTGAGCATACCCTATTATTGGAAACAGCTTCTCTATACGTAACTGCAGAGGGGTAAGACTGCATACGTCTATCCCACCCCAAACATCACATTGGTGGGGTGGGAGTCTCATACACTGGGCTACCTTCATAAGCATACACTAACTTTTCAAAACCTCACGAGGCCCCCGTGGTAGATATTTGCCATTTAGTAGATGCTCCCTTGTTAGAGAAATGCCATTTGGTAGATGAAGTGAAGGTTCAAAATATCGATATGCCGATAGAGACGTATTGGGCAGTATCGGTAGTTTCTTTTTTAATTATTATTTTCAAATCCAGTTCAGAGGGAGCATGCCTATACATTACAATACTTTGAATATTGAAATTTGAATCAACTTATTTTGTATTAATAGAATCAATTTATGTTGTCAAAAAATAACTACCTTTTACAAGGTTCAAAATTTTGCATATTGGTACATTTTAAACCCACCGATATGCAATACACCATTTATAAGGATTTAGGGGAGGTTTATAGGTGCATTATTAGAAGCTTAGAACCTCTCCTATTTTACTTGATCCTGAAATGCCATGTTAAAAATATAAAAAATAAAAAGTATTGCAGCCTTAAAATGCACATCAATGTTTTGAACCTTGCATTTTTATTTTGGGCTATTTACAAATAAAATGACCAAGTTTGCTGTATTGGAAAATTCGGTTATGTTTAGAAATTAATAACATAAATAGTGGGCGGGAAGAGAAAAAGTTTTTTTTGGGACCACATTACCCCTGTATTAGAAAAGAATAGAAGTGAAAACACTGTTCGTCTTCCTCAAGCTTCTCTTCTCACTGTGCAACGTAACCAAATTTGAGGGAGCATCATGTTTGCAAAAATAAAAGTGAGAATAAGTTTGCAGGAGAAATCAGGAAATAGTTTTTAACAGCCACCAACAAAAAATGGAGTGAAGCACCAGCACGGATTCAAGGTTAACAAAATAGACCAGCCCAAAGAAAATATGAACTCAAAGCTCGCTTCCTTGTATGTTCTCAACCGCAACTATACGTGTAGCCGTGTAGGGCGGTTTCAAATGAGAACTTTTGATGAACACGAAGAAGGCATTTATTCAAGCTGAAAGGAGAAAAGCAAATTGTTCTTGTCAATAATCTCTCTTAGGACTGAGATCCTTGCGGCCCCAGAAGGTGCCCATAGAGCAAGGAGTTGAACATCAGAAGACTAATTATTGAGGGTGATCCGGAGGTGGTGGTGAGAGAGCAATGAAAAAAAAACTTAAATGGCTGACTGGGGACGTTAAGGTTAAACAAGGTTCAATATATCGTTATGTATCGGCCCGTATTGGCCGATACGTATCGTATTGGGGTGTATCGGGTCAGGCCGTAGTTCAAAGGGTATCCAGGACTTAAACCAATCCCTCTAAACCGGTTTTGAAAAATAAATAAATAAAATATAGAAAAAGGCACTGATACAGGCTGATACGCCATGCATCCATATTTAGAACTTTGAGGTTAAATATAGTTGAGTAAAGAGAACTGCAAATTCACTTGCCAACGGACTAGCCAAGCAAGGGATGAATAGGGGTTCCTTTTTTTGGGCTCATTTCTAAATTTGTTTCTTTTTTATAATGTTGGGAGAGTTAAAGACAGGTTACCTCCCCTCTCTTTTGTAATTAAAGTTTTGTTGTTTTAATAAAATTAGAGGATGATTATTGAAAATTAAATTAAAAAACTAATATAGGTCTTGCATCTTTGTAATTGACAATCTATTCTGACCTATTTTATTTGAAAACCATTATTAATTTATGTTTTTTTTAATTTGATTTAAGATATTAAATGAGATCTTATTCGGAAACAATAACCCACTTTATTTGGTATTTACTATTTATCTAATAAATCTATTTTAAGTTATTTATTTTTAAAAGTTATATTAGGTTTCTTCCTAAAAGTTAAATCAAGTTTGTTATTAATAATGCATTTTCTTTTTGAAAAAAAAATATTTAAAATCAAACGTGGGTTTATGATAATCTTTTAATGGGTCCCACCATTTGTATTTAATATAGTATGGATAAACATATGTTAAGCTAATAAATAATTGCCTATCGAGAATGTTTAGGAGTGAAACTACCCACTTTGAATCATATTTCTTGAATTAATAGGATGCCACATACTAAATGGTGGTAGTGGGTTATGGGCTTTAGCAACAACTTATCAGAAAATGCCATTTGTCTAGCTTTCCAGAAAAATGAGAAGGTCACATGTCTAATTGGAATTTATTGGAAATTGCCATGCATCTATCTTTCTAGAAAATGAGAAAACCACTTGTCTTAATGTTGGTAGTGGGTTGTGGGCTTTAAGAACAACTTCTCAAAAAATACCACATGTTTAGATTTATAGAAAAATGAGAATGTCACATGTATGAATGGTAGGAACTGTAACCTGAAGACCTTCCTTGAATATATATATATATATTAGATTTTCTGCTATTGGTATAAAAAAATCAGCTCAGTTTTTTCTTTGGGTTATGGGCTATATAATTAATCTCATTTGGAATTTGTAACTCATCTTGCCAACTCCATACCGCATGATCATACTCTTCCCAAGAAAAACGAAGCATCTCATCTTCTCTCTCTCTCTCTCAGATAGATTCTTCTTGGTTTTCTCAAGATCAATATAAAAAAAAAAAAAGAACCATCTTGCATGGCTTCTGTTGTCATCATCTCATTTGGCTGTTCGGTTTTTAAAGTCATAATATCCTCTTGATTCATCGCTTAATCTTGTTTTGTGGAGGTTTAAAGACTTTATCGATTGGAGGATTTGTTCAGAGTTTTACAATGTTATTTAACAATAGAATTTAAAATTAGATAATAATGAATTTACGAATAAGGGTAGTTAGTCTGAAAAGGAATTTTTTTCTCCCACTCACAGAATTCAGCTTTATTTTCAAAACACTACTGAATTTGTTATTTGCTAAAACTATGTTATTTATTTTATAAAAAGTCCTTTTATTTTTAATTAAAAAAAGAAAAGAAAAAAGCTTTAGGAGTAATTATGGGCCAGGCTTAACACTGCAACAAGGCTGTAGCCCAGGCCCAAAACCCGTCCTCAAACATAACCCTGGGCCTGGGCTTACATTACATAGGCTTATGACTTTTTTTTTTTTTGAAAGAAAGGATGTTGGCAGAGTACCAACAGACCAGACCCACTTCATTAATTTAAATGCTCAGCAACAAAATCATTTTCTAATACAATATCTAAAAAAGAGATCGGCTTCGTCAAGGCAAGCCCGTGCTCACACCGTCCCAACAGCCTCTTGCAACCTTGCATCAGGAATATCTCCCATGAAATAAAGCATAATTAGGGAGATATTCCCAATGCAAGGCTGCTCGAATAGGGTTGCCCTTGACGGAAGCCGAATTCTTAAAAAAGGTGGCAAAGACCATATAAAATAAACATCTCATTTTCGTACATAATATTTACTTTGCTTGTTGGGGGCCAACAGCCTTTCCTGTTGAAAGAGTTTCTGGATTGAGCACATTCACGGCAGTCACTAATTCACAACCATGCTTTTGTTTTTATTCAAAATAAATAAGAAGGCAATTACCAATTTGCCCACTCTCGTAGTAACGTGCCCAACCCAAACTCTCTCAAGAGGAAAGTCTGTTGGCCCCCAACAGCCAAAGCTTTTCCTAGGAGATATTCCCAATTGAAGGGACTCAGTGTGATGTGGGTAGACATGGGCAGAATTCTCGTGGGCAGAAGATTGGAGTAGAAATAGTAAGGGCATGCTTAGGCACAGCATGATCATCCATGTACCCTACTGACTGAGCATTGAGGGATTCCTGCCAATATTAATATGCAATCTGCGATCTTTGATGCGCCAAGGAGGAGAAAAGTGCTCCTTCGGCAGACAATTGATAATAATCTTGGAATCCCTTTCAAGAATAAGAAGAATAAGAAGCGCACCTAAATCAACCGCTAGTCTAAGAGCAAAAAGAGCAATTTGTGCTTCTATTTCCTCGGAAGTAGCTCGATCAACTTTTACAGCTCTCCCGAAACAAAAGTTACCAGTGTGTGATCTCTACTTACCACACCAATTCCACCAGGCGAAGGAAACAAACCACCTGATGAAGGGTGATTTGGCACGACCTAGTAAGAAGGGGACACGTAGGCGCGATCTGATCGAGGGGTGACAATTTAACCAAGCAAACCTAGTTTGCAACATTCGGAGCTCAGGCACTCAGCCACCTCGGCCCAAAAAACCACCTTGGTGTAGAGGAACCTCGACACCCAATCCAGTTCAGGACCAAAGAATCGAAGTGCCAGTTCGGGGCTGGAGAGTCAAAATACCAAATGATTGACTCCAAAGGCCTCCTTAACGGGCCCCGAATTTCTCGGGATCACGATGAGACTCGTCCTAGCTCCGCCCGAATCGGAGGTAAACGAT